CCAGACCTCCCCCCCTGCCCATGATCAAGTGTGTCCGTTTTTTTGGGGGGGGTCTACATGGTAACCCTAGTTAGTAATACTGCTAGACAATATTGACCTCCCATGCTATGGCAAATTCTCTGGCTTCGTACCTGTCAGGTCCCTAAGGTGTCAGAATAGAGAGGTTCAACCTATATTAAATGCATAAGACAGAAGAAGACAAGATATAATTGTAACCGTCCCCTTAAAGGCCACCCCGAGTCTGGGTGGGTAGTCGTCCTATATGAGAGATTTACTGTACGGTTGGCTTCCTAGCCACGGCGTATTTCACGTATTTTAAGCGTGCTCCGAGCCTACGCGGATCTCAGGGGACAGGGAAGGGGGCTCCGGCCCTCCCTCTCGCCGAGCCCCGACCCAGGGCCCTAAGACTGGGACGTGCATCCCTTGTCAGTGGAGGGGGTCAAGATCCCCCAAACCCTCCACCCGTGGGGTTCGTGGCCCCGCCCTGGGTCCCTTCTTCCCGGTCGGTCCTCCACCGGCTCCCCCAGTGGGGGGATAGGCTTACCCTCCATCTTTCACTCCGGGGGGTTTCTAGCGGCCCTCCCCTCTCTGGGCCCAGACTCCCTGTTAAGGCCTGGGGTTCCTCCCAGAGCCGAGCACTCCCCCCTTCCTGGCTGCAGCTGCGGCCCTTTTGAATTCCCCGCCGCTCGGCGTCTTGAGCCGATATCACTTCTGCGTCCGTGGCCCCGCCCTCCATGGCGTCCCGGCCGACGATCCCACTGATGTCACAGGGAAACGCCGGACAGCGCTGCGGGCTGCCGGCCGCGCCGTCGCTCGGCGCGGTTCCCTGGCTCTTGGAGGCGCGCCCCCAGACGCCTAATCCCCACTTTGGACTTTCGCCCCTTGCCTCGGGGTACGTCCCAGTGCGGGGTAGAGCGGGGGGCCTGCTTGCCTCATCACATAATCCACATACCTTCTGGGTGTATTGTACTGTCCCACCTAGTAGTACTGAGATCAATTTGGTTGCGTCCACACATCAGGGCTAAACTCGAAATAATCTATGCAACTTGAGCTATGCTACTTGAGCTACAACTTGGTGCGGTCTACACAGCACTTATTTTGAAATAGATTACTCTTCTCCCAACTTGACCTATTCCTCTTACAACGAGGTTTACAGAAGGCAGAGTAAGACTCCCAGTATTCTGAATTTATTTTGAAATAATGGGCTTGTGTAGATGTGCACTATGTTGTTTCAGAATACCTGATGTTATTCCAAAATAATGCTGCTGTGTAGACATAGCCTTACAGAAAGAGAATGAGTCTGCTCTACAGCCTTAGCTAAGAATCAATGGGCCTGATTCTGCAGCCCTTACTCAGGCAGGTAGTCCCATTGTGGTCAGTGAGGCTATTAACAAAGTCCTACTCAGTGTTACTAAAGGATATAGCTTGTGATTTTCTCTCAGAGTCTCCCCCCGTCCCTCCCCTAGTCCCTCACTCTCAAGTACTGATTGTTACGGGTGGTATTTTATTTGGAAATGTTCATGAAAATGTTTTCATGTACCCATGAATGAGTAGCTCCACTTTAAATTAGGTGGCCTGATACACATGTCTTTTTGGTTGAGATTCAAGTGATGGCATATAGTCTTTTGGTGAGTGTTGTGTACACATCAAATTAATTCTTTTTTTAAAAAAAGCTTGCTTTACTTGAAATGGCAGTAATTAATGTTTTTCAAAAGATGCCGTTGACAGCACTGATCCTACAAAGACTTAAGCACATATTATCTCGAAACATGAGTAATGCCATCAATTCATCTGAGCTTATTTACTTCCTCAAAATGAAGCCTTTAAGTCTTTGCAGGGTTGGTATCTAGTTTACAAATAAAATCCAAAATAGTTAATATAACAAAATCCCATCAAACCGCCATCACCCAGAAGGGGAAAATTTGATTTGAATTAAGGTTTTATGCTTTTTACTATGATTGATCAAAAGTGATGATTCTGACGGATAATCTACTGATCCATTAAATACTTAAAGTTGTAGCTGTTTAGTTATTGTGTAGAGACTAAGCACTTCACTGTGACAGGGACAGGGACTATGTTTCAGTGGGTCTGTGTATGTTACCTATGAATTATTTTTGTATACTTCATAACAAAAAAATTCTCTTTTTCCTTGTAGGAATCCAGGAGCTTTGAAGTCACAAGAAGAAAAGGTAGGAAAAATATAGGTTTATTTTTTCCCCCCTTTGTTGAGTGATCTTGAGGTAACATGTTGAAACAAATGTGAACCTACAAACTCGAAAGAAGCTACTCTTGTCCAAATTTTCAAGAGCCTGCTTCATAACATTTGTGTGTCAGATATTATAAATTGAGCCTCCAGATGTTTTCATGGAAAAATAATTCAGTGCAAGGTAGCATGACATAGTCTTGGGGATGTGTGAGATTTTTTTTTCTTTCCTCCTAGTGCCACTTAATTAAAAACACTAGCTGACTAGGGATTCAGGCTAACACATTGAAATCTGTTAGGGAGAAATAAGAATTACTTGGCCCAAATCCACTACAGTTGGTGCTCTGAGAATCTCCATTGCAGGAAGGCACTGTCAGTATTTCACGTACTCCTGTAAGGCAGCCTTGAAAATAACAAAGCTAGGCATTGATCACCAGCTTGTTGTGGACATCATCTTTATGAATAATTAGGGTACATCAATATCCATTGTCATATAAGCTAACACAAAGGTACCACATATATACACAGTAGCTCTCTGTAATGCTTTTTATCTATTCAATTAAATGTACTTTAAATTCTATGAAGAAATCCCATTATATTTCATTGAAATGAAATTGAAAATACTGTTATCCTTGTTCACCACATAACTTGCCATTTTAATGTATTTCTCAAAAAGTTATTTGCACATAGTGTTGGCTTTTTTTTTTTTTTACTAAAATCGGGATGCTAAAATATTCCCCATGTGACTAGGTGGAAGCAACCCATAAACTAATAGGTTAGTGGGGGTTTGGAATAATAAAGGAAGGAGGATGTTTTGTAAATATTGCCTAGGGAGATGGCCCAGCTGTACAAGAGAAGAAGAGAAAATTGTATGTTTGGTGTGAGAAAGATTAGAAGTAAAGATGGAACATGTGATGCTCTGACTTCCTTGTACTGCCAAAATTGCAATCTCTCTTTTTGGTTCAGGATTTGGCCAGAGGTGTGCTACTAAATTACATACAACAGAGCAGCATTATATCTGGGAGTAGGTTTCTTATTGTAATTGATGAAGTCACTCTACACAAATGTTTTTAAAACCAACATTTTGCCTGAACTGGTAACATCACTGGAAACCACAAGGGACATAGAGCGCAGCCAGTTTAATTCCATTCTTGTCAGCTGCCACTCCAGACCATCAGCAACATGGTATGATTGCTTTGTGAATGAAGAACATCCATGGTTTAAAAAAGAGAGGGAGAATACCATCAGGAAGTACTGATTGCTAGTCACTGGATATTTTAACATGCATCCAAAAGTACGTGAGGACAGCCACTGGCAATAGACTACAGGAAAGAAGAGGGTGATAGAGGTTGTCACAATCAAATGGGTAATAATAGCGACAGCAATTAGAAAGTTTGTTCAAAGGTATGTAAATGTTAAATAAGAGTCATGTTAGTGTGCTGCTAGATGAGCTCAGATCCCACTTCTTAAAATGGTTTTGAATTAACAACTAATTGGCAGCTGTCTCTAGCAGCTCTTTTATTGTTCTAGACAGATGGATAAAAATCAGCTATCAGAGAACTCATTCTGTTTATCATTAATTTTGATTTTGTTTAGCAGATGTTTTCTGGATCACTCAGTCACCTGTCTAACCTGTTTTGGTATAATGTGAAGTGGGTAACAGCCATCCATTAAACAGATTAATAAATTCCCTAATTTCATGTTGGTAGCTTCTATAATTGCTATAGACATACAGAATTCCGAGACGTAGGCTGTAAACCATCATGGTTTTTATTGTATCTAGGATAATAAAAGGCCAATTTAAAATGTATGTTGCCATCTGGGCAAATACTGAGCTCTTTTTTTCCTTTGCAGTAGGTTTGTATAAGGAGCTCTGCAGGTTCCCAAAGCAGTAAGTCAACCTGAGAAAGCAGAGAGACTTTATTATGTATCCTTGTTACATGACCATTGTTAAAGGAGAAATTTGACTGTCTGAGGTGCCTGGACTATCAAAAATTAACTTGCTCCTCTTTTAAAAAAAAAATCAAGATACTAAGATGCACCAAATACCTATAAATCTTAGCTGAAACAAAAACAGGACTATGTAGCACTTTAAAGACTAACAAGATGGTTTATTAGGTGATGAGCTTTCGTGGGCCAGACCCACTTCCTCAGATCAAATAGTGGAAGAAAATTGTCACAACCATATATACCAAAGGATACAATTAAAAAAATGAACACATATAAAAAGGACAAATCAAATTTCAGAACAGAAGGGGGATGGGGAGGGGAAGGTAAATGTCTGAGAGCTAATGAAATTAGAGGTGATAATTGGGGAAGCTATCTTTGTAATGGGTAAGACAATTAAAGTCTTTATTCAAACTTAGGCGTAAAGTGTCGAATTTAAGCATGAATGACAGTTCAGAGGATTCTCTTTCAAGTGTAGTCTTAAAAGGCCTTTGAAGCAGGATGCAGGTAATCAAGTTCCCCCTTCTGTTCTGAAATTTGATTTGTCCTTTCATATGTGTTCATTTTTTTTAATTGTATCCTTTGGTATATATGGTTGTGACAATTTTCTTCCACTATTTGATCTGAGGAAGTGGGTCTGGCCCACAAAAGCTCATCACCTAATAAACTTGTTAGTCTTTAAAGTGCTACATAGTCCTGTTTTTTGTTTCAGCTACACCAGACTAACACGGCTACATTTCTATCACTATAAATATTAGGTGGTTGAAGTCACTTGAGTAGGAACTTTCTAATGTCCACACCATTTGCTGAAGTCAATGGGAGTTTACTATTGATTTAAGTGGGACCAAAATTACTCTAACACTGAGCACTTTTGAAAATCTCAGATTAGACAGATGGAGGTTTTACATAATTCTGTCAGACAGCTGAAGATATTTACTCCGAATTACTTCACAACTCATTGATTATCATTAGTATAACCACATTTCCTGTTCCACTGTTGTTTATCCATATAAATAGAAGGTTCCAAAATGTAGTGTCAAGAAGGTGGCCCAAACAAAGCTGTCTGTTCTCTTGACTAACAGTTTTGTGCCTTCCTAGTCAGTGCTGAATATGAGATCCCATAAAACAAATTTGAGGTCTTGTGCTTTGAAATTAACTTCCTATAAAACCCTGTATTACTATTGTTCTTTTTAAAATTCAGCCCAACCAGCAGCACAGAAATTAAGAACTGAATGTTACCATGAATGGCAGATTATATATTATCTGATCGCAGAGAAATGTGAAAGGGTTTTCTAACCTCGATGGAGATTTTTTATTCAGTGATTCCACATATTTTATTCAATGGATTCCTTTCCTGAAAATCCTTCAGTTGTTCCTGAATAAAACATTTAGTTCTGTAATATTGTTTGTAAAACAATGAGGAAAAGGGGCAATAGAAAAGGACACGAAGAAAGTTAAAAAATATGTAATTTCTGCACCATGCAGACACTTTTATTGTATGTCTCTATGAAGAAATAAGATGATCCAATTTGAGATTTAGGTCTGGCTTATAAAGAGCATTTGTACTGATATAATGGCTTTCATCTGAGGATCTCAAAACTAGAGCTGGCTGGGGGAAAAAGTTTCCTGTTGAAAATTTTAACTTTTTTGGCAAAATATTAAAACTGAAATTTTTGGGCTGAAAACTCTATTTCTACTTTCCACTATGGTTTCCAGTTTTGTTGAGTCTCTGCAGTATATCATGGGAGTCAAATGGTCTGGTGTATCACGTGAGATGTAATACATTGGGGGAGAAGACTCCATAGAGGAGAAGGGGGCATGGATCAACTGAACTACAACTCCAGTGAGGCACCATGGTTGCACAGAAAGACATTTATATGGAACTAAAATGAATTTTTGATTCAGTTCTGTTAAGTAAGGCAAACCTTTAACGTTTTCAAATCGATGGTGGGAAAATTTTCTTGGATCTTAAAGGTACCATTTTTCAACCAAAATCCCCTACATTTTCTGTGGAAAGCAGACTCTTTTTCTGAGGGAAAGTATTCCATTTTGATGGTTGTTGTAAAACAGTTCTGATGGAAATAATTTGCCTAGACTTATTGAAAACTTTTCTACAAACATCAAAGTGTCACTTGTGCCCATTTTTGCACAAAGTAGGTGGAGGAAAGTAGATTTAAAAAAGCCTTCCTTGTTAAATGGGCAGTCTGTGAATTCCTTGAATGTGAAAACTTCTCCAGACTAGCATCAAAGGAAAATTGAGACCGTGATCCAATTCCTATTGAAATCAAAGGGTGTTTTTCCATGGGCTGCATTGGGCACTGGATCAGGTCCTAATTGCTATAAAGGAGCAATTCGTTCCTGACCACAGCTGCTCATGGTTTTATGCCTTAAAGTATTCACATTTATTTTCATTTTAATTCTAGTTAATGTAAATGTAGATTAATTTTTATTCATTTTTCTAACCATTATTTGAATTTTACTACGTTTTGAAGAAAAGTGATCTGTGTATTGAAAAGTAAATTTACTGAAGAAAATTCTAGAAGTTGAATAAATGTGCCTAAAATATTTTCACATTCTTTATTTTAAATATAGTTAGCTATTCGATTACATGAGTGCAACTCACTTTGACTTCCATGGGAGCTGCACTCGTATGGTAGAAAAGAATTTGGAGAACTGGACTTAAAAAAATGCACATGGGGTGAATAAGGGCATAATTTGACATATTACCTTTTTTTAGCTGAATGTCCCATAGATTTCATTTTAAGGGAGAAGTTGGAACACAATGACTGGTTTATACCCTATTAATAATTGTACATAACCCTCTCTTCTCCTTTGTAGAATAAATAATCCTAATAATTTTAATTTCTTTCATAACGGGCAAAAGGCTTCCTTACCTTTTGCTCTTCTCCAGACATTTTCTATTTCTAATCTTCTGTATATAACCAAAACTGAGTGCAACACTTGAAATGAGGATGCATTGTTCAGTCACATAATTCTCATTTTCTCTATTGTTCTCTATCCTCTGCTTAATACATCCCA